GCTGGTCCTTAGAAACCCAGTGTCACTCAGTGATGGCATCTGCCCTCCGGGGGGTGGCGGAGAGGGGGCCAGGCTGGATGGATCGTGTAACACCAAATGAGACACAATCAGGGATTTGTTGTCTGCCACCTGACTGGGTGTCAGAGACCCAGGGCCGCCATCATGACGTCAAGGCATGGGTGTGCAAGAGACCACAGGGTGCCATGACTGAGCTTTCCCACCACTTTTTATCATGGTGACACACACTCACACGCATACACACACACACACATATATGATGTCTAATACATATATGAAATAGATATTTCATAAAATTCTACCATTTTAAAATCTACAATTCAGTGGCATCAAAATTATGTTCACAAGGTTTTTCTACTCTCATTCCATCTATTTCCAAAAATTTTCATCACTGCAATAAGACACTCTGTAGCCATTAAACAAATGTCTCATCAGGGCTTGATTTCTGTCCATGGCTAGGCTGGCTACAGTCCTGGCTTCCCGGGGGACCCCAGCTCTCCTCACAGTCTCAAGAGGGCTCTGACCTCACGCCCTCTCAGGCTCCAGGCCAAGGGGGAAGAAGGCGAGTCATGAAGTCCTAAGAGCCACGTCAGTGACTGTATGTCTGTCAGTGCCACGACCGGGGGAGCTGGCTGATTGGCGGCCCGAGTCCCCAGATCCTCTCCCAGAGTGTGGTTGGGGCCCCAAGAATGGGATGAAGGGGAAGATGGTGTCTCCAGGTAACCATCAGGGTCGTCCTGCAAGAAGGCAGGGCGGCCTGGCTGCAGGGGAGGTGTGCTCGTCTCCTGAGCGGCCCTACCTGCAGATCGTTATTGTCTCCTGGTTCTGGAGGCTAGAAGTTTGGATCTAGGGTGTGGGCTGATCCCTGCTCCTCCACAGTCTCTAGGGGTGGGTCTGTTGAGCCGTTAATGCTCTGTCATCCCTTAGCTTGTGGCTGCATCTGGTCCTGTCGCCACAGGCCCATCTTCCTACTGTGCGGGTCTCTCTGCCTCTCTTTCTCTGTATAGGGATCCCATTCAGTGAGCGTAGTGCCCACCCTCCTCCATGGTGACCTCCTGCTGATTTCATTGCTTCCATCTGCAAAGACCCTCTTGAAAAGATCACATTCATGAGTTCAAGGGTCTGGACCCAGCATCATTCTTTGGGGGACACGATTCCACCCACAACAGAAGTCAAGCCACAGATTCCTACCTTAAGCCCTGAGAGCACCCCAGCTCTCACCCCACGGGGCCCAGGTGCTGTCCAACCCCTGTGGGCGCTGCCCGGGTTTACAGAGCCTTCTGATTCCCTCCTGGCAGTGCCTTTCCTGGTGGGACAGACTCTTCCACGGTGTGTGCCCGGTCCTAGGTGTCGGAGAAGCTCAAGCTGGCGGAAAAGACGGCCCTGGACATCGACAGGCTTAGAGACGGCTACCGGCCGGCCGCCAGGAGGGGCGCAATCCTCTTTTTCGTCCTGTCCGAGATGGCCCTGGTCAACTCCATGTACCAGTACTCCCTGATCGCCTTCCTCGAGGTCTTCGGGCTGTCGCTGAAGAAGTCCTTGCCAGACTCCATCCTCATGAAGCGGCTAAGGAACATCATGGACACACTGACCTTCAACATCTACAACTACGGGTGCACAGGTGAGGGAGTGCCCTGCACTGGGCAGGGCGGGGAAGGGGAGCCTCATCCCGGAGTTGTGTTCAGTCGCACAGAGACGTCACCTGGGAGAAGACCGTCTTCCAACCTTCTCTTGACCCCTCGACTTCCATCCTCTCAATTTCCAGGGAAGTCTCCTGTTCGTCCTCAACAGACTCAACCACGGCCACCGTGGGGAGGGTGGCACTGGACCGGGCACCGTCCCACCCTGCCGTACACAGAGCCGCTCAACACCTCATCTTTTAAACATTCTCTGTCTGTCCTTGTTTCACAGGTAGAACAGCTTCCCTTTGCTCTCAGAAGAGTTTGCATGTGTGTAAAAATGCAGACAATGAGACATATGCCCATCAGTTGTTTTTGCACATGCAGTCCATTGAGAAAGATCTCACACACACATTTCCCACTTCACACTGCGTCTCCAGCCTCACCATCTCTACACGCTGACACTCCACCCCTCAAAGTTCCCCTCTGCGTCCAGGGGTACTGCCGCCCATCTAACCTCATGCGATGGGTCTTTAAAAGTGCGCAAGGCCCAGGCAGACAGTCTTCAGGAGTGAGCTCATTTACTTTATAAATGACTTCCTTGGGTGGTTTGGGTTCAAGGTCTACAAATCATCTCTAGGCAGTCGATGTGGAGGCGCCTCCAGTCAGGATGCATCCAGGAAAGTCGGTTTGTTTCACCATTTGAGGTGCTGCTCCACGTTTCTTTTCCTCTTTTTGATCAGAACCTATCGGGCCGTTGATCAAAATGTCGGTCGTCATAGCTGGGCACCACCTGTTTCTCCCGGGCTCGTGGTGATGGAGGCCGTAGTTCATGGAGGCGGTGAGGCCTGCGGTGCACTCCCTTGCTCTGGGACGCGGGTCTCTCCTCAGTCGTCCCAGGAAACCAGAGCAGCTGCGGTTTGGGTCGTCTCATGGCGACCCTGTGAGACAAGGTAGAACTAGCCCTGGGTTTCGGAGACGCTGAATCTTGATGAGAGTAGAATTGTTTCTCTGGTAAGCCCTGCAGGCTGGTAGGCTTGAATGAATCCCAAGGGACTACACAGCAGCGAATGAGTGAGTGTAATTTTGGTGCCTGCGGGGAAGCCTTTAGAGCCCAGCACTCTCCACTGCACGAGAATCTAGGACCAGCCATCACTGCTGTCCAGTCAGTTCTGACCCAGAGTGACTGTCGAGGGGGGAGCAGAACCACCCCATAGGCTTTCTAGAGACTGGAAAAGCCGGCTGGTGGGTTTGAACCACTGACCTTTGGGTCAGCACTAAGCGCTTAATCTACAGAGACTCTAAAAGCAGTGTTAGATCAATTGGCTGGACAGATCCACAAAACCATGAATCTAGACCTTAGAACCAAGAAAATGAATTCCATGAGCTGTTTAGATTGTTTAAAAAAATTTTTGGGTGGGGGGCTGCCTTTTTAGTTGTGAGGTTACATATGACATGTTGACAACCTCGCTCCCTTTGCTTTGGCGGGCATCAGCTCAGGGCACCAGTTACAGTAGCCGAATCGTGCGAATAATACCTTTAGTCCTTCATGCTCAGAGATTATTTGACCAGTTTTCTTTCCCCAACTGCCTTTATATGGAAGCATCTCTCTATGATTATTTAAAATGTGTCGTGTGTGCTGTATTTCTGTGGGAGGCCCTCCAGTTGCTGTGGCTCTGGGCTGTGTATTTGCGGGTTGGCTTGAGACCAGTCGCGTTGAGACTGTGATGCTTGTAGGGCAGTTGGCTCTGGGCTGGGCTTGGCTGGGTCAGCATCCCTGGGTGCTGGGATGCCCCGTCAGTGGAGAGAGAGCACCCTGTGCATGTAGTTCTTGTCACCTGGGTCTGCACAGTTTCTTAGAGAAGAGCCTTCTAGCCTCTTCAATGCTGCCGGCATCCTGGGGACCGTGGGTGAGTACAGAGAGTGGTGGCGTCACCACGCATCATGGATGGCACCCTGTAAGGAGTTACCATCTCAGAAACACACAGGGGCAATTCCCCCCAGTCCGGCAGGGTCCCAGAGAGTCAGAATTGGCTCGATGGCTGTGAGAGGCCATCCATCAGCTCTGCCTGGGGTCTGCCCAGCCTCCTCCAGCGTTGCCGTTAGGGACCCTCCAGTTGGCTCGACACACACCAGCCCCGTGTCCCGCAGAAGGCAACCCTGCGGTCCTGCGCCAGCCTCACAACAGTTGTCGCGTCTGAGCCCATCGACGCCGCCACTGGGTCAGTCCGTCTTGTCTAGGCTCTTCCTTGTCTCTCACTGAGCAAGCTGTCCTTCTCCAGGGATGGGCGCTCCTGATGACATGCCCAAAGAACAGGACACCGAGTCTCTCCCTTTTGGCTTCTAAGAAGCCTGCTGGCTGTGCTGCTTGGCTCTCCAGAGTGAAGTGAGGGGGGTGGGCCAGCTGCCTAGCTGCTCAAGGATGAAAGGCGGTCCAGAGTCTGTCTCTGGAAGAAATCACCCCCACCCACCCACCTCCACCCATGCCTAGCCTTCCTCTTTGTAGCCCATAGTCACCCCACTGCCCGATGAGCCTCAGGCTGGCTACCAGGCCCGGAGCCGCCTGTACATTCCAATCTCGTCCAATCTCGTCTCCAGCTTCCTAAAGATCCAACTTTCTCAGCGCTGTGAAATCAGCCACCACTCACACATCCCTCTTTGGCTTCCCAAACGGTGCTGCAATTTTTCCCTCTCCCAATTTTCTGGAGGGTGCACCTGAAAACAAATCCCAAACCCTCTCTGTCTGTCATGTGAGTGAGTGAGTGAGTGAGTGAGTGAGTGAGTGAGTGAGTGAGTGCGGAGGGGGTGAGGTAAGGCCAGAATTGTGCTGGTGACTCTTGGGAAGGAGAAGCTGGGAAACATGCTCAGCCCTCGCCACCCTCCTCGTTTCTAAGACCATACGCTGCTGACAGTGTTTCATACACTCCTGCGGCTGGTGGGCAAGGCGGGGGACAAGGAGAAGGTTGAGGTGTGGGTCCTATAAGGCTCACGTAAGTAGCCGGCCTACCTAGCACCGTCAAGTTTTAGAGCACACCCCTACCCCCATTGCCCAGACGTACCTGTATTACATAAATTAAGGAGCTTTCCCATTTGATGGCACAGTGTGTAAAAGCACTGCTCTGCATACAGGAAGGTCAGTGGTTTGAACCCAGCATCCGCTCCACGGGAGGAAGATGAGGCCATCTGCTTCCATAAAGATGGCAGCCTGGGAGACCGTGTGCAGAGTTTCCCTCTGTCCTGCAGGGCCATTCTGCGTCAGGGTGCACTCGAGGGTGCTGGGTTGGGTTTGGGTTTCTATCCAGAGACTGTTGATGGCATGTGTTCACACCATGGCAAACCCATTGCCCGGTTGTCGATCCTGGTGCATAGTGACCCTGCACAGGGTTTCCGAGGCTGGGTACCTCCTTACCAGAGTAGACAGCCCTGTCGTTCTCCTGCAGGGCAAGCATGCCTTTGAACCACCCATCTTTCAGAGAGCAGTCCAGGGCTTACCCGACAGCACCACCTGGGCTCCTTCATCCCAAATGAAGCGGTACCACCAGGCCAGATCTGGCCCATGGCCTGCTTTTGTAAATAAGAGAGTTTTATGGGAACGCGGCCAGGCTCATTTGCATGCATATGCATATTGTCTCTGGCTACGCCACAAGAGCCGCTTGGAAGAGTTAAGGTAGCCAGCCTCCTGCCAGCCCAGCCGAAAACAGTTACCATCTGGACCCTGACAGAACGTTGGCTCTAATCGCTGACCTGCCCATTGAGTCAGGTCTGCACTGAGAAGGGGGCATTAGACCTCTCAGACCTGTCGCTCACCTGCCGGTGGCCCTAGGTTCCTCTTACACCTGCGGAAATGCCATTTCCTGGGCTGGTGAGTGAGGGTCCCTGCAGACGGCGCTGCCCACATTCCCCCGGCATCGAATACAACGAGGACTAACAGAAACCAAGCTGGTTAGGGGGGTTCATTCATGTTCCTCAAATGTACAGGCTTCCAGAGAGATCGTCCCCTACCTCCTCTGGTCTCTCCTCCCAGGGTTGTTCGAGAGGCACAAGCTACTCTTCTCGTTCAACATGACCATTAAGATCGAGCAAGCCGAAGGGCGAGTGCCTCAAGAGGAATTGGATTTCTTCCTGAAAGGTAATGGGTGCGTCTGGCTCCCTTCCTCCCGGCTTCCTCGACTCACCTCGTACAGGTTCATACGTTCGTTTGTTAGAATAACCAACGGCAACACAATTTCCCCTTAAAAGTTGGCTTCCCAAGAACACCTCATTGGAGTCCAAGCTCTCCACTGCTAACTGAAAGGCCGGCGTGCCCTCCACGTGACAGTGGGCTTGGGTGTCCAGATTTGAAAGGGGGACTTAGAGCAACCAGCCTCTGACTGAGGCCACCCTGAGGTTGGAAGTGGCCTGAGCTGCCGGGTTAATGCTCCTGACGGCGACAAGCCCGTCCCTCCTGCCCTCCCCAGTCCCCCCACAAGTCAGTGACGTCAAAGGAACGCTCAGCTGCGCCCTCCCCCATGTCTCCTCCGAACCCCCCAGGAAACATCTCCCTGGAGAAAAGCAGACGCAAGAAGCCCTGTGCCTGGCTGTCCGATCAAGGCTGGGAAGACATCATCCTCCTGTCAGAGATGTTTTCACAAGACTTCGGGAGGCTTCCTGACGACGTGGAGAGCCACCACGCTGTGTGGCAGGATGTGAGCTCTGCTCCTTGCTCCCTCCTCCTGTTCCCGGCTGCTTGGCAGCCCTCAGACTTAGAGCCTGTGAGAGAGAAGATAGTTCCTTTGAGTAACCCCTTCAGTGTGTAATCAGTGCTGCATCTCCCTGGATAGAGCCCTCCTGTATCCAGTTCACACAGCTGTGTGGGAGAACCATCTGTCCATGCATCCATGCACTCATCAGTCCCTCATCTACCTATCCATCTCTCCATTTGTCCATCCATCCATCAGTCCACCCATCTATCAGTCCACCCATCCATCCATCCATCCATCCATCCA